TGTTACTGATGGTAGGCTTTGTTACTTTGGTCCCAGCTCTCTGCAGGTCATTCACTAGGTCCCCCTGTGTGGTTCTGGGATTTTTGCTCACCGTTCTTGTGATCATTTTGACCCCACGGGGTGAGATCTTGCGTGGAGCCCCAGATCGAGGGAGATTATCAGTGGTCTTGTATGTCTTCCATTTCCTAATAATTGCTCCCACAGTTGATTTCTTCAAACCAAGCTGCTTACCTATTGCAGATTCAGTCTTCCCAGCCTGGTGCAGGTCTACAATTTTGTTTCTGGTGTCCTTTGACAGCTCTTTGGTCTTGGCCATAGTGGAGTTTGGAGTGTGACTGTTTGAGGTTGTGGACAGGTGTCTTTTATACTGATAACAAGTTCAAACAGGTGCCATTAATACAGGTAACGAGTGGAGGACAGAGGAGCCTCTTAAAGAAGAAGTTACAGGTCTGTGAGAGCCAGAAATCTTGCTTGTTTGTAGGTGACCAAATACTTATTTTCCACCATAATTTGCAAATAAATTCATTAAAAATCCTACAATGTGATTATCTGGATTTCTTTTTCTCAATTTGTCTGTCATAGTTGACGTGTACCTATGATGAAAATTACAGGCCTCTCTCATCTTTTTAAGTGGGAGAACTTGCACAATTGGTGGCTGACTAAATACTTTTTTCCCCCACTATAGGACTTGTTTTACTGTGGATATAGATACTTTTGTACTTGTTTCCTCCAGGATCTTCACAAGGTCCTTTGCTGTTGTTCTGGGATTGATTTGCACTTTTTGCACCAAAGTACGTTCATTGCTAGGAGACAGAACGCGTCTCCTTCCTGAGCGGTATGACGGCTGTGTGGTCCCATGGTGTTTATACTTGCGTACTATTGTTTGTACAGATGAACGTGGTATTTTCAGGCGCTTGGAAATTGCTTCTAAAGCCATGACATCATTTTCTGGAATTTTCTAAGCTGTTTAAAGGCACAGTCAACTTAGTGTATGTAGACTTCTGACCCACTGGAATTGTGATACAGTGAATTATAAGTGAGATAATCTGTCTGTAAACAATTGTTGGAAAAATTACTTGTGTCATGCACAAAGTAGATGTCCTAACTGACTTGCCAAAACTATAGTTTGTTAACAAGAAATTTGTGGAGTGGTTTAAAAACAAGTTTTAATGACTCCAACCTAAGTGTATGTAAACTTCCGACTTCAACTGTAGATAACAGATACACTGCTTATTGGTACGACAGTAAACATCTAGCTGTTTATCATGATGAGAGCAGATCTTCTCCTGTGATTGTGTGGAGTCTTTGGCCAGCTTGTGCTTCTTAAAGGCAGGAGATTCATAGTAAGGCTGGAGGTGTCTCACAGTAAGAGGCCAGCAGTGGTGGAAAAAATACTCAATTGTCATACTTGAGGTAAAAGTAAAGATACCTTAATAGAAAATGACTCATAAAAGTGAAAGTCACCCAGTAAAATACTACTTGAATAAAAGTCTAAAAGTATTTGGTTTTAAATATACTTAAATATCAAAAGTAAATGGAATTGCTCAAATGTACTTAAGTATCAAAAGTAAAAGTACATTTAAATGTGAATCGATTCTCAATTGTGGTACGGTTCTAGAAACATAAAATCCCTCTACTTTCATATCATATCAAAATAATTTCACAAATGCAAAATATACACTTACTGTACACTGTTTTAACACAGTTGCAGATGACAGTATTTTTTCAGTGACAACACATTTGTGGCGTCTGTCTTCCATTTACACACAGGTGTTCGAAGACGCAGATAGCTAATTAGCACAGGTAGTCCACTCTTCCTTCCATCTGTTTTCCGTAAACGAGCGCTGTAACATATGGTCGGGGTGGAATCCTAACCCTACAAAGGTGTGCATCAATTTAACCCTTTGTTTTTTTTAATGATTTCTCGCCCATATGAATGATAAGGTCCTTATGCTTCTGAAACTGTAACGCAAGTGATTCGTATTATTGTTCAGATCGAGCGTCGCGGCTCTTCACAAAACTTCCCCCTACAGAAGATGCCATCGTCCAATGACTCTTATGTGTAATGTAATGAAACTGAGAGTCATGATCAAGGGCTAGCTGCAGACAAGCTTCTGGTCATCCTGATCCCAGCAGCCTTTAATACAGTCCATAGAGTAGCTGTGTCCACAGGAATAAGTCACTGGATCCTTCAGTATCTCCAAACAGATTAAACAACTGATCAAGTTCATGGCTTCTGCCATTTTGAAACACACAAAAAGACTGAGCTGCAGATATACACTGAGTGTACAAAACATTAGGAACACCTGCTCTTTCCATGACATAGACTAACCAGGTGAAAGCTATTATCCCTTATTGATGTCACTTGTTAAATCAATTTCAATCAGTGTAGATGAAGGGGAGGAGACAGGTTAACCTCTACGGGATCGGTGTCCCGTATATGGGATGGTTGAGATAATGTGCGCTAATGTGATTAGCATGACTGTTGTAAGTAACAGCAAACTTTCCAGGACATAGATATGGGCAGAAAGCTTACATTATTGTTAATATAACTGCACTGTCCAATTTACAGTAGCTATTACAGTGCAAAAATACCATGCTATTGTTTGAGGAGAGTGCACAACAACAAAAAACTTTTCACGGCAACTGGTTTGATTCATTCACCTCTGGGACTAAACACCTCCCTCTGCAGCTGGATCCTGGACTTCCTGACGGGCCGCCCCCAGGTGGTAAGGGTAGGTAACAACACATCTGCCACGCTGATCCTTAACACGGGGGGCCCTAGGGGTGCATGCTCAGTCCCCTCCTGTATTCCCTGTTCACACATGACTGCATGGCCAGGCACGACTCCAACACAATCATTAAGTTTGCCGACGACACAACAGTGGTAGGCCTGATCACCGTCAACGATGAGACAGCCTTTAGGGAGGAGGTCAGAGACCTGGCCGTGTGGTGCCAGGATTACAACCTCCCCCTCAACGTGATCAAGACAAAGGAGATGATTCTGGACTACAGGAAAAAAAAGAGGACTGAGCACGGCCCCATTCTCATCGACGGGGCTGTAGTGGAACAGGTTGAGAGCTTCAAGTTCCATGGTGTCCACAATACCAACAAACTATCATGGTCCAAACACACCAAGACAGTCGTGAAGAGGGCACGACAAAGCCTATTCCCCCTCAGGAGACTGAAAAGATTTGGGATGGGTCCCCAGATCCTCAAAATGTTCTACAGCTGCACCATCGAGAGCATCCTGACTGGTTGCATCACCGCCTGGTATGGCAACTGCTCGGCCTCCGACCGCAAGGCACTACAGAGGGTAGTGTTTACGGGCCAGTACATCACTGGGGCCAAGCTTCCTGCCATCCAGGACCTCTATACTAGGCATGTCAGAGGAAGGCCCTCAAAATTGTCAAAGACTCCAGCCACCCTAGTCATAGACTGTTCTCTCTGCTACCGCACGACAAGCAGTACAGGAGCGCCTAGTCTAGGTCCAAAAGGCTTCTTAACCTCTTCATCACGAGGTTCCCCATATCCGGGGTACTCCTCCCGCAATCTCAAACAATGGCATAGTACGGTTTTTAAACATGTGTGAATACCTGAATGTTATACACTACTGGAATGAGAAGCGTCTCAACTGTGAATCTAGCTAAACTGTTGTTTCCCAAATTAAATAATATTCCGACTCCAAGCAAAAATATAAGCATATAGCAAAACCAGTACTGTATTTTGAAACCGTGCATGCCAGTATATTCGTGGACAGATAAAGTATTTCTCAACCTATCTACACAAACGATACACCATTCAAAAGCTGCTACCTCACAGATTCCAACAGTGATAGCCATGTTCCTCTATGACCAACACTCACTAAACTATTAATCAAAGAACGTCAATAACACATTTTCCATTGTTTTTTTATCACAACAACAAACTGCGTCTTACCTTTGTTATTTCTGTTACCAAAAGTAGTGTCTGATCGAATAAAACCACTTGAAAAGATACTCTAGTGTCTCTCTCTCATTCTGAGTCGATTTCAATGAGTTTCCATCGTTTTACATGGCCAACAATGTGTTTGAAGATGAAGTCAGTAGTTTGGTTCAATCACAACAGGCACTGTTTTGTCGCCATCTTCTGGATATATGACGCAATCCTCGTGGTTTGTCATTGTTCTTTTTTAATTCTACAGATCCAAAGCTTTCGATAGAGGGGTCACATGTAAAAATCGACCAACTGGTTGTTGAAATATCCAAGTGCGCACCTCATTGTCTCATATTAGTTGACTTGCTGCGTTACGCACGGTTACACAGAGCGCACAACAACACTAGAATTTCGGAGGTAAAACGCAAAGTTTATTCAACTATGGCAGGCTCTAGTAACAAATATACAGTTACAGAGGCGTTATTAATTGTAACAGATGAAAGTTGGACTCCATGTATCCCCATTGACTCTGAATCAGACGATGAGGACCTGCTTAGACCGGACGAACCAGACCCCAACGACGAGAACGAAGGTTATCTTGTCCAGGGCCTTACTCAAGCATCAGAAGAGTATGTAATCCCATTGTTATTTATTACTTCTAATACTACTATTACTAATTTATTGTATGAGTACAAAACATACATTCTAAAATATATATTTGAGTAACTGAAGCTCAACGTAAGTTAGCGCCAGCTAGCTTAGCTTAGAGGCCTACGCGCAAATTGACTTACAATAGAACGCATGTGTACTATTTATTGTCACTGAATTATCACTTAAGTCAACATTCTCATAGTTCTAACTATTTATTTTATATATCTGACTGTTTTGAGTCAGATTTGTCAATGAATTAATACAAGTGTGTTTAAGTCATGATTTTCTTTTCTCTTTTGTCTTGTTTGTACAGTGAAGATGATTATAGGGGTATGAGCCACAGCCAGAGCATCTGCCTCCTCAGCCACAGCTTCCCCTTCCTCAGGCAGAGCCTCCTCTTCCTCAGCCTGGCCGCTTGTCTAGACAACGCACTTCTGCTCCCCTCCCTCGGCCACGGTCTTCATCGGACACTGAGTCCCCTGTAAAGAGCCCTCAACCCAAAAGAAAAGGAAAAGCTTTCTCAAAGTCAGCGCATCCAAGTCAGCGTGGTGGAGGTAGGCTTGCCACTCCAAGAGTCGGGGAGGAAGAAGAAGATAGGTGGCATAATAGAAGAGAAAAAAGGGTCTACATTTTGTGTGACAACCCACCCAAGGACACCATATCATTGTTTATAGTTTTGGGATGTGTGTAATTTTTGTTTTTAAATTTGTTGTTTATAGTTTCTAATAAATCTGCTCAGTTTGGAGTCAAAATTTCCCATTGTATTGTTTATTTCAATGGGAACACGTATAGAGGTCTGGGAGAACATGGGAAACAACATCAAAACAGTTGTATTTTGATGGAATGTACACATACAGTGGGGGAAAAAAGTATTTAGTCAGCCACCAATTGTGCAAGTTCTCCCACTTAAAAAGATGAGAGAAGCCTGTCATTTTCATCATAGGTACACATCAACTATGACAGACAAAATGAGGGAAAAAAATCCAGAAAATCACATTGTAGGATTTTTTATGAATTTATTTGCAAATTATGGTGGAAAATAAGTATTTGGTCACCTACAAACAAGCAAGATTTCTGGCTCTCACAGACCTGTAACTTCTTCTTTAAGAGGCTCCTCTGTCCTCCACTCGTTACCTGTATTAATGGCACCTGTTTGAACTTGTTATCAGTATAAAAGACACCTGTCCACAACCTCAAACAGTCACACTCCAAACTCCACTATGGCCAAGACCAAAGAGCTGTCAAAGGACACCAGAAACAAAATTGTAGACCTGCACCAGGCTGGAAAGACTGAATCTGCAATAGGTAAGCAGCTTGGTTTGAAGAAATCAACTGTGGGAGCAATTATTAGGAAATGGAAGACATACAAGACCACTGATAATCTCCCTCGATCTGGGGCTCCACGCAAGATCTCACCCCGTGGGGTCAAAATTATCACAAGAACGGTGACCAAAAATCCCAGAACCACACGGGGGAACCTAGTGAATGACCTGCAGAGAGCTGGGACCAAAGTAACAAAGCCTACCATCAGTAACACACTACGCCGCCAGGGACTTAAATCCTGCAGTGCCAGACGTGTCCCCTTGCTTAAGCCAGTACATGTCCAGGCCCGTCTGAAGTTTGCTAGAGTGCATTTGGATGATCCAGAAGAGGATTGGGAGAATGTCATATGGTCAGATGAAACCAAAATAGAACTTTTTGGTAAAAACTCAACTCGTCGTGTTTGGAGGACAAAGAATGCTGAGTTGCATCCAAAGAACACCATACCTACTGTGAAGCATGGGGGTGGAAACATCATGTTTTGGGGCTGTTTTTCTGCAAAGGGACCAGGACGACTGATCCGTGTAAAGGAAAGAATGAATGGGGCCATGTATCGTGAGATTTTGAGTGAAAACCTCCTTCCATCAGCAAGGGCATTGAAGATGAAACGTGGTTGGGTCTTTCAGCATGACAATGATCCCAAACACACCGCCCGGGCAACGAAGGAGTGGCTTCGTAAGAAGCATTTCAAGGTCCTGGAGTGGCCTAGCCAGTCTCCAGATCTCAACCCCATAGAAAATCTTTGGAGGGAGTTGAAAGTCTGTGTTGCTCAGCGACAGCCCCAAAACATCACTGCTCTAGAGGAGATCTGCATGGAGGAATGGGCCAAAATACCAGCAACAGTGTGTGAAAACCTTGTGAAGACTTACAGAAAACGTTTGACCTGTGTCATTGCCAACAAAGGGTATATAACAAAGTATTGAGAAACTTTTGTTATTGACCAAATACTTATTTTCCACCATAATTTGCAAATAAATTCATTAAAAATCCTACAATGTGATTTTCTGGATTTTTTTTCCTCATTTTGTCTGTCATAGTTGACGTGTACCTATGATGAAAATTACAGGCCTCTCTCATCTTTTTAAGTGGGAGAACTTGCACAATTGGTGGCTGACTAAATACTTTTTTCCCCCACTGTATGTTAGTGAAATTAAATGCCTTTTGCTGTCTGGTACGTGATAAAAGTCAAATGGCACTGATGGTGCCCAAATCTACCCAAATGTCTCCATTTGGTAATCCGCCTAAACATACTTCAACTAAAACCCCTACAACTTTGGTTTACTTTACTTTATTGGCATCAAACTTCACATAAGTACTCATCAGATATTGGGCTATGGTCCCATAGTGTTTAGCCGCAGCTGCATAAGTCCAATAAATTATTCCCTATAAAACCTGAAGTTACTTTCAGGCGGAATCAAAACCTCCCAATTTATGCTGTGTTCTAGCTTCATGTCCTCTGACACAGTAATACCCACATTAATTATTTCACTTCAAGATACATCTCCCATGTGTTACCTTTTGCTACCAAGATTATGTTGATAGCCCTTGTCGTTTTGGAGATATACTCTATTCAATTTGGGCATGCATTTTCGAGGCAGGCACTTTAGCCAGGTGCCTAGTGATGAAGAGGTTAACAGCTTCTACCCCCAAGCCATAAGACTCCTGAACAGCTAATCATGGCTACCCAGACTATTTGCATTGCCCCCCACCCCCTCTTTTACGCTGCTGCTACTCTGTTTATTATCTATGCATAGACAGTTTAACTCTACCCACATGTACATATTACCTCGACTAACTTTATAGTTATGTACTTGAAAATTGATCAATTAACCAATTTGGCACATTTGGGCAGACTTTATACAAAATAGTCCAGTATTGCAATGCTTCACTGGATCAATCTGAAACATTGTATACACACTGCTGCCATCTAGTGGCCAAAATTGCGCCTAAACTGCATTATTATATTGTGGCCTCTCTCTTGCATTTCAAAGACGATTAAAAATAAATATAAATAAAACATGTTTTTTGGTTTGTATTATCTTTTACCAGATCTAATGTGTTATATTCTCCTACATTAACTCCACAAACTTCAAAGTGTTTCCTTTCAAATGGTATCAAGAATATGCTTATCCTTGCTTCAGGTCCTGAGCTACAGGCAGTTAGATTTGGGTATGTCATTTTAGGTGAAAATTGAAAAAAAGGGTCTGATCCTTATTAAAGAAGGATTTTTAAGCCTTGAGACAAATGAGACACGCATTGTGTATGTGTACCATTCAGAGGGTGAATGGGCAAGGCCAAATATTTAATTGAATTTGAACAGGATATGGTAATAGGTGACAGGCGCACCGGTTTGAGTGTGCCAAGAACTGCAACGCTGCTGGGTTTTTTATGCTCAACAGTTTCCCGTGTGTATCAAGATTGGTCCACCATCCAAAGCACATCCAGCCAATTTAACACAACTGTGGGAAGCATTGGAGTAAACATGGGCCAGCATCCCAACGAATTGAGGCTGTTCTGAGGGCAAATATTAGGAAGGTGTTCCTAATGTTATGTACACATAGTGTACATTTTGTTTACTGTTTGCGCTGAGGAGTAGAAGTGGCTTCCACTGACCTATAACATTTCACTTCCTGGATCTGTGTACTCGCATATCAGGTACCAGGTCTGGCCAGCAGAGAGGATAAGTGGTCTGTCATAGCCATAGAGAGAGAGAGACATTTCTTATAATGTATTGTAATTTTGAGATTGTCAACCATATAATTACATTTACTAGAACAGCCATACCCATTCAAGTCAACTTTCCATGATGGTTCGACCGGAAGCCATTTAACAATCACCCAAAAAAATGGACATTAAAAAGATACATACCATCCCATGAGCCACATCAGATTGCATGTAATTTATTTCAATGATGAAACCAAGAATGCAAGCCCTTGTGTAAGCTGATGTCTAACATTATAATCAATCCCTTTCACTGAAATGGACTGTGGACTGTTAAAATTTTAGCAGTAGTGCACATGTTGTGCATTCACCAGTAGTTTGTATTACTGTTATCCAGTGGCGGCTCCTGAAAAAATTCTCAGGGGGGGCAATTTTTCTGATGATTTAGGTGACCTACACACATTTTAAAAAAGATATGTCCAGCAACAACATGAAGACAGGGGCAGCATATGAGTCAATACTGATATACACATTACTTGCTTCAAAAATGCCTCATGGTTGAATTGGAAATATGTGCACCTGAGCAAGCAGGAGCTTTTGATAGAGGCTACTGAAAACATTGATGCAAGTCATTGGTAATAAGAAATTTTTATAGACTTCCATATTCTGCCCTCTTGTATAGATTTGTGAAAATGAACAGTGATAGACATTTTGCCTGAAAACAGAATTTGAAAATAATTTCTAGAAAAGGTAAACACAGCTATCTGTATGGCTTTGTAAATATGAACAACCATATTCTGGCCAATTGTATAGATTTGTAAAAAAAATTGTTTACTTTTTTTAAAATGAAAAATAACTATTTTAAACAACATCAACTGTGAACTGATTTGGGCGTGTGTGTGTTAAAGAGACAGACAGGGAGGGACAAAGAGAGAGAGAGGCTACATTACTTGTACTGAAACTGTTCTCTTCTCTCTTTCAATGCAGCAAAGCGGTCAATGACTTTCTCATTGAAATCAGGCATGCTGAGGACTAGTTTACTAGTTACTTTTTAGCTTGCTGCATGATCAAATTCAGCTGATGCGCATAGCAATGCACGTAATGGCCTTTCTTGAAATGCTCACGCACCTTTTGCCTTCTCTCGCCTCATCACACTGGCTCCATCGTAAGCTTGCGCAATGAGTTTGACTTTCACGTCGTCGGCAAAAAGACCGTTCAGTCTCTCCAAAAGCACACTGGCGATTGAGACTGAGGTTGATTCCGAGATGGGAAGGAACTCAAAAAAGCGCTCCTGCACTTTGTGGTTGTCTCTTTGATGTGAACTTCTTTCAAAGAGACAATCGAGTTGCACTGAACGCTATAGCCATCTTGATAGTAGTACGTGAATTGATTGATGCTGCTACCCGCTCTTTTCTTAGTTACGTTCATGGTTACGTTACGTATGACGAAAGCGCTGTTGTAGAAACATTTGACTAGATAATTAACTCAAAAATATCTCTCAAGACATCAGAGCCTGTGAATTTAAGAATTTAGACTTTATTTAAAAAACAAAGCCGAGCCTTTCTCCAAAGAGACAAAGACTGTCCCTTTTTCGCCAAGAGCTCAATTTTATAGCCACATGTACAAACATTCCTAACTTTTTTTTAGTTCGTACCACCCTCTCATTCGATCATTCTATTGGCTGCGTGCCTAGGCCCCTTCTCAAAAGCCCCTTCTTAAAAAACTAATGTAAATGCAAACCAGATGTCTAGAACAACCCCATGGCCTCAGTTTAAAAACCCCTGTAAAATAACACATCATATCCTTAATGTCTATATTCATTATTTAAACATATATCTGGATTATAAAATATCAAACATGTTCATTCTGTTTCACCATTATCATTTCATAATACATTATAAAACATTTATCATTCATCATCCTCTCAGCCCCTGAGATGATGTGCATGTGGCCATGTGTCAGGTCATAAGGTCATAAACATAAAGAAACGCAAACACTAGCTCCATTGTTACTTCTATCTCCACAGCCATCACGTCATTCACATTCCTAAACCAGCTGCAGAAGTTTTCATGAAAAACACATAATTATCTCTGCTCTGAATTCAACTGGCTCTCAATCCATAAACACTCCAAGGCATATAGATTTTCAATTTTACAACAGATCCATGCTTATTACTAATATTATTATTTTACCTTTGCCTACACTTGCCTTCATGATACATAAAATAACACCACAGCGCGTAAGTGCAAGCCCTCAGAAACCCATAGAGATTGTATTGAAAGCTCTGAAATTTGAAAAAAATAGATTTTACATGGGAGTCTATGACAGACTTCTGGGCGATTTTCAACCTGACTGAAATCGCCCCAAAAGGGGGGGGGGCCATTTGAAGCACGACTTTAGCCTGATTGGACATTTAGTGGCAGTGTGGCACTGTGGCAGATCAGACGTCTAGATTACAACACTGATAACTACTGTTGCCGTGATATAATTGATTAGAAAAAAAATCCCTTCCTTTTCCCGTTTGGCAGTGCGTCGCCCATATCGCCCTATTGAACACACCGCCCCTGCTGTTATCATAAAATAATGATGTTAAGTGTGTCAGGCTGAAATAGATTGCATGATGTTTATGTACACATTACTACATTGGTGTCAGTATCTTCAGAGATTATCCATAACCAGGACCAACCCAGAATCCAGGGTAGTGGGGCTGAGTGAATGTGGTCTGGACTCTGTGGAGGAGGGTCATTGTGTCAGAGACACTGTAGAAGGACAGAGTTCCTGCCTTGGGTTTCAGGTACACTCCTACTCTGGAGGAGCAGGGGGTAAGGATATCAGTACTGATATTATTGTGCCTGAAAGAGCAGCTAGACGGATCACAGACCAAAGTCCAGGACTGATAATTGCGTCCAAAGCTAACATCCACTCCGTTTCCTATCCTGCCGATCCCTTTATAAGACACGGCAACTTTACACTTGCTCCCACTCCTTTCTACCTCCCAGTAGCAGGTTCCAGACAAAGCTTCTTTACACAACAGCTGGCAATAGAAGTTAAATCTGTCTGGATGGTGAAGATAGGACTCAGCATTTTCACTCCTGGTCAGCTTCCTGTTCCCCTCAGACAGACACAGATATATATTAGCTGTGTTGGGGTCCAATGTGAGCTGGCAGGAATCTGAAATAATTTTGAAATAAAACATTGTGTTTGTGAGTGTCTGTATACCTGCTCGCATTTGTGTGTGGGTCAGACAGGCTAGTGAAACCGTATTTATAGTTGTGTGTAGATATTTAATCACATTTCAAGAACTCCTCTCTGGTATTGGGTTCAGGAGGTGAAACAACCTTCATCTTTGACAGCCCCTCACTGTCCTCCACTGCTGCCTGTGCACAGTGCTGTTAGGAAACACAGAGATAGGAGGGGGGTTCATTACAACCAATTTAATTAAACAAATAACTCTGCCCAACAACACCCTCCCCCCTCCCATGAACTAAACTGTAGGAACTATAACTTATTCCATGAATTGTATCCACTTGTGATGTTTTTGTTGTAATATTGTTTGTGATTTACATTGGTGTATGTATTTATGTACTTTATGTGGTGATGCTGTTGTATTGGGATGTTAATGTGTAAGACACATTTCCAGAAAGCGACACAATACACGATAATAATAATAATTATGTATTTTTGTCGCTTTCTGAAAATGTGTAATAATAATAATAATAATAATAATAATAATTAGTATTGTTCTTATTATCCCGCCCATTCACTCAGCTCTCACCAGGACCCCAGACAGCCTGTTCACCACAGTGGGACTCCGTGAGATTTGAACGAGGCCCTCCATGGGCTCCTCACTGGCTTTATATCAGACAGATACAAGTAGATTGTCCTTACCTGTTTCTCAGTCTTTTATACACAAATAAAATATGTTACATTATTGTTCACTACAAATATTTTAAAAACAAACAATATGTGCAACATATAAAAGTCAAATAAAAAACACTTAACATATACAGTGCCTCTTACCCAGATCTTGGACTAGATGAGGTTGTTTTCCAAATAGAATCTCATAAAAGGCTGCTTTCACCGTTGTTCCTCCTGAACATAGTACCTCGTAAAGCAGTCTCATCTGTTCCTGGCAGGGCCTGCCATCACGGATCGTATTGTACATTTCTTTCTGAAGCATGTTTCTCTGGATCAGTTCATCTACTATGGGAATCACCATGGTCACCCTCTGAATTAGCTCAGCCCTTTGCTCATCCACAAACTTGACACCTTCAGTTAGAGAGAGAGAGGTAAAGTTATTAAGCCAATCGTAAATAATTGCTCAGTGAATCTGACCCTAAGTTAGTAAGACAAGGTGGGTGGTACATTTAAAGTTTTGTTTTCACTAATGTTTGACAAACATGGCAGATATCGGTCAGTGTCATAATAACAATAATACTTTGTAATATTGGTATTATGGGTCTAATTTATTATGGTAATTTAATAATCTGTGAATGATTTAAACCAGTGCTTTAACTGTTGAGACTACAGCAAATCTTGGAGAGAACTTAATTCGGGAGCATCTAGTTCCAATTTTGAGAATGGATCAAATGTTATATTGTTCTTTCTCTTAATCTCAGTTGATACCAAAAACTGTCACCTAACCATTTTCTGAACTCATGGTTGGAATCAGCAGTTTATTCTGAGAGAGGGGGGAGACAAAGAGACGTTTATAAACTATAAACTAAAGGTAAAATAAACAGAGGTAGCAGCTGGGTAACTGTAGGACTCTAAATCCTCTTTCTTTCATCTGTCCCGTATGCCTCAGTTGGTGGCGCTTGCAACGCCAGGGTTGTGGGTTCGATTCCATTGTGGTAAATGTATGCACTCACTAGCCTACTGTCGCTCTGGATAAGAGCGTCTGCTAAATTACTAAAATGTCATAAATATAACACGAAAGAGGAATTATCCCGAGTTAGGGGAGCCATACAGTTACCCAGCTGCTATCGCAGTTTATTCATTAAGAGTTTTAGTCATAAAGATAGTCAGTAGCTATGTTTCCATTAACTTGCCCAGTGATTTTTTTGACGACATTTACAAAGTTTGCATAGAAAATAGATGCGACAATTGTCCACTGAACCATATTGTGTCGATGAAAACAGCTGTAGGTAATGATGTCACAACGAACACAAAAAACGAGTGTCGAATAAAAATGTAGTGGTTGAAGTGTCCTAAAACCCGGAAATGAGATACCTCTGGTTCGTTTAGCCATTCCAATGGAGAAAATGAATGGGGAAATAATATTTTGGGGATAGACGCCGAAAAGAAGGTCTGAGGTTAACACAGGCTTAGGAGATATTATACCTTTTGTTTTATGAGATAATATCAATAAGTTAACATGACCTTTATGAATTATGAAGTCTTTATATGCTTTTAAAAATTCACAAAAGGTGACGTTAGCTGATGAAGATTATATCGTACACTACAAAACCTATAAGATCTACTAAGCCTGTGTTTACCACAGACCTTATTTTGGGCGTTTATTCAAAAACCCTAAAAAAACCTCCCATTAATTTCCCCATAGGCTTTGTCCAACGAACCTTGGCGGAGTTAGTGCCTACAAAAAGACGCCATTACCATTGCTCCCTATTCAGGCATTTTTGAAATTCAGGACAATCCTTGTCCTGCAAATAAATATTATTTTTAGTATAAAAACATTATTTTGCAAGCAGTAGGCATTTATAATTAAATGTGTAGTGGAGCTTACAGTAATGTGATTAACCTACATCATGTGCCCCGCATAGGCCTATCTTCAAAAGTATTCGGCAATCATCATTTATTTGAAAAACACCGTTTACACCATCATTTGTCGCAATTTAACTATCCATGAAAAGTAATTCGTTTTATATGCATGGTTTTATCAGACCATGACAAAACGCTTTCTGTTTATAGTTTTCCAAATGTAAAGCATCTGAAAAGTTTCATTATGTCAATCGAGAAAGTAAAATAAAAGTGTATTTTATATTCACCTTGTGCATGAAGCAAGTAGCCCAAGATACCGAAGGTAGTGGAGGTGGTGCAGGAAGAGAATTGTTGAGATTTTGTTGATGATCACAAGTTTACTGGAGAACTGAGACCAAGTAGAGACTTTTGGACAAGGTGGATAATGGTATAATATAAGGCAGTTTATTCAGAGGTAAAGATATCTGGAATAGCGTGCACGGACTCGTTCGTCAAACTCGTAGGGAGCTATCTGAAGAGAGCCCCGAAAACATTGTGTGCAGACATTTTATGCAATAAATGAAGTAGGTTGAATCTAGTAGTTCTGATCTTCTGATTGGTCCTGATGAGTTGGGCGAGGTCCCCTCCAGGCTAGTGTCACTGTTGCATTGGCTCTGAGTCGGGTTCTCTGTCTTCAAATGTTCAGCCTAAAAGAGAGGGGATTTTGTGTGTGTGTGTGTGTGTGTGTGTTTAACAGTGATGATGTGTGTGTGTGTGTGTGTGTGTGTGTGTGTGTGTGTTATCAGTGATGATGTGTGTGTGTGTGTGTGTGTGTGTGTTATCAGTGATGATGTGTGTGTGTGTGTGTGTGTGTGTCCTCAGAGCAAGAACTCGTGAGTTGGAAGAACTGAGAGACCTATGGCGTGGGTGTTGTCCTTGGCCACCTGCTGACAAGGCTGACAAGATAGGACCCTTTTGTCCATTGTTATTGGATAGGAACAGCATTGATTGAAAACAAACGCCCAACACAAAATGGGTCATGCACAAGATTTTAGTCAGACCAAGCTATAACATTATATATTTACTACGACAGTATAAACAAATCTCTGTGACAGTAGATTGTGATCATTTGAATTTCAAACCATTCGAAGCTGATTGCAAGGCCTTATTTACCTATTATACAACAGTTGGGTCTAATCCTGAATGCTGATTGGTTAAAACCGCATTCCAGCAGTGGCAATTCCACAAGTCACAACCAGCTAAATCTGACATTAAAATGCCTATTTACACTGTTCCATCTGACTGCGCAATCCACTGTCTCATCAACCCAGTCAGGCACTTTATAAACTTGATCTCCACTATAAAAATGTATATGTATATACTGTATTCTATACTATTCTACTGTATCTTAGTCCATGCTGCTCTGTCACTGCTTGTCCATACATGTACAGTACCAGTCAAAAGTTTGGACACACCTACTCATTCAAGGGTTTTTCTTTATTTTTACTATTTTCTACATTGTAGAACAATAGTGAAGACATCAAAACTATTAAATAACACATATGGAATCATGTTTTAACCAAAAAAAGTGTTAAACAAATCAAAATATATTTTCTATTTGAGATTCTTCAAATAGCCACCCTTTGCCTTGATGACAGCGTTGCACACTCTTGGCATTCTCTCAACCAGCTTCACCTGGAATGCTTTTCCAACAGTCTTGAAGGAGTTCCCACATATGCTGAGCACTTGTTGGCTGCTTTTCCTTTACTCTGCGGTCCGACTTATCCCAAACCATCTCAATTGGGTTGAGGTCGGGGGATTGTGGAGGCCAGGTCATCTGATGCAGGACTCCATCACTCTCCTTCTTGGTAAAATAGCCCTTACACAGCCTGGAGGTATGTTGGGTCATTGTCCTGTTGAAAAACAAATGATAGTTACACTAATCCCAAACCAGATGTGATGGCGTATCGCTGCAGAATGCTGTGGTAGCCATGCTGGTTAAGTGTGCCTTGAAATCTAATTATTGGAATGGATAATTGGAATGGATAGTTTACCCAAATTACAAAATGACATATTGCTTTTCCTAACCCTGTAGTGAGCAGTATATGGACATGGTATGACAGTAATCCATGCTTTGGTTTTATTTCCCTGGCACTACTGTTTCCAAATGCTAACGTTAACCTTTTAGTATTAGTGGTACAAATCCCATTCAAGTCATGGTACCGATATAAGCATTTTTCACGCATCATGTCCAAATCATCCAAAGGTATCTACAATTGATTTTGAAACTCAACTAATTGAACATCTGAACATAATGCGCGGAAAATGCTAATAACGGTACCATGACTTGAATATGATTTGTTCCACAAATGCTAAAAAGTTAGCATATGGAAAAAGTGCTAGGGAAACTAAACCAAAGCATGGATTGCCATCATACCTTCTCCATAGCCTGCTTACAGGGTAAGGAAATCAACATGTACTTTTGTATTTTGGGTGAACTATCCATTTAAGCACTAAATGTGTTGATACTGTGCTGTTGAGATCATGCAAGACACATAAAAAATAAATAATAATAATAATAATTTGTATTATTATTAATAATATTAACGTGCCCGTTTACTCAACTCTCACCAGAACCCCAGACAGCTTATTCCCCACAGTGGGACTCAGTGGTATTTGAATGAGGCCCTGCATGGGCTCCTCATTGGCTTTAGTTTAGGAATCTGCTAAATCAATAAGCTACATGTGAATGGTCAACACTCACCTTGAGTCTCACCTTCTGCATCTTCTTTTTCTTCTTCGTATTTTTTTTCCATCATTGTTTCCACCAATTCTGCCATGATAGTGTTTTTGTTCAGAACGGGCCTTGGGGTGAAGGTCTGTCTGCACTGGGGGCAGCTGCAGACAAGCTTCTGGACATCCTGATCCGAGGAGCCTTTAATACAGTCCATACAGTAGCTGTGTCCACAGGGAATAGTGACTGGATCCTTCAGTATCTCCAACAGATTAAACAACTGATCGAGTCCATGGCCTCTGCCATTTTGAAACACAAGCAGGCTGAGCTGACGAGATAAGGTTTGTTTCTATTCGTGCTGAGGAGTAGGCTTAGGAGTGGCTCCCACTGACCTATATAACATTTCACTTCCCGGATCTGTGAACTCACATATCAGATACCAGGTCTGGCCAGCAGAGGGGATATAAGTGGTCTGTCAGAGACATAGAAAGAGAGAACTTTCTTATAATGCATTGTAATTTTGAGATTGAATGAGATTTACTAGAACAGCCATACCGATTCAAGTCAAAGCTCTGTGACTGTGGACCAGCAGCCATTTAACAATCAACTCAACAAAACATATATTACAAAAGAAACATCCATTCAATGAGCTACATCAGATTGCATATAATTTATTTCAACAAACAATGCAAACAACTCATTGTCAATGGAGCTTGTGTAAAGCTGATGTCTAACAGAGTAAATCCCTTTGAGTGAAATGGACTGTATCTTCTCAATAGTGCACTCACTAGTAGATTGTATTACTGTTTTCATAAAATGATTATGTTATTGTGTCAGGCTGAAAAAGATTGTATGATATTTATGAACACACTGAAAGTCAATGAGTGTAGATAAAACGTTATGTTTATTTACTACATTGGTGTCATTATCTTCAGAGATGATCTATAACCAGGACCAACCCAGAATCCAGGGTAGAGGGGCTGAGTGAATGTGGTCTGGACTCTGTGGAGGAGGGTCATTGTGTCAGAGACACTGTAGAAGGACAGAGTTCCTGCCTTGTGGTTCAGGTACACTCCTATTCTGGAGGAGCAGGGGGTAAGGATATCAGTACTGATATTATTGTGCCTGAAAGAGCAGCTAGACGGATCACAGACCAAAGCCCAGGACTGATAATTGCGTCCAAAGCTAACATCCACTCCGTTTCCTATCCTGCCGATCCCTTTATAAGACACGGCAACTTTACACTTGCTCCCACTCCTTTCTACCTCCCAGTAGCAGGTTCCAGACAAAGCTTCTTTACACAACAGCTGGCAATAGAAGTTAAATCTGTCTGGATGGTGAAGATAGGACTCAGCATTTTCACTCCTGGTCAGCTTCCTGTTCCCCTCAGACAGATGCAGATATATATTAGCTGTGTTGGGGTCCAATGTGAGCTGGCAGGAATCTGAAATAATTTTGAAATAAAACATTGTGTTTGTGTGTGTCTGTAAACCTGCACGCATTGTTGTGTGGGTCAGGCAGGCTAGTGAAACCGTATTTAAAGTTGTGTGTAGATATTTACTCACATTTCAAGAACTCATCTCTGGTATTGGGTTCAGGAGGTGAAACAACCTTCATCTTTGACAGCTCCTCACTGTCCTCCACTGCTGCCTGTGCACAGTGCTGTTAGGAAACACAGAGAGAGGAGGTGGGTTCATTACAACCAATTTAATTAAACAAATAACTCTGCCCAACAACACCCTCCCCCCTCCCATGAACTGAACTGTAGGAACTATAACTTATCCCACAAACTGTATCCACGTGATGTTTTTGTTGTAATATTGTTTGTGATCTACATTGGTGTATTTATTGGAATGGATAGTTTACCCCAATTACAAAACGATATATTGCTTTTCCTAACCCTGTAGTGAGCAGTTTATGGACAAGGTATGACAGCAATCCATGCTGTGGTTTATTTCCCTGGCACTGTTTCCAAATGCTAACGTTAACCTTTTGGTATTAGTGGTACAAATACCATTCAAGTCATGGTACCGATAGAAGCATTTTTCACGCATCATGTCCAAATCATCCAAAAGTATGAACAATTGATTGTGAAACTTAACAAAGTCACTTATAGATGATTTGAACATAATGCGCAGAAAATGCTAATATCGGTACCATGACTTGAATATGATTTGTGCCACAAATGCTAAAATGTTAGCATATGGAAAAAGTGCTAGGGAAACTAAACCAAAGCATAGATTGCCATCATACATTGTCCATAGCCTGCTTACAGGGTAAGGAAATCAACATGCACTTTTGTAATTTGGGTGAACTATCCTTTTAAGCACTAAATATGTTGATGCTGTGCTGTTGAGATCATGCAAGACACATAAAAAAAGAGGCACAAATAATATTTATTATTTGTATTATTATTAATAATATTAATGTGCCCGTTTACTCAACTCTCACCAGAACCCCAGACAGCTTATTCCCCACAGTGGGACTCAGTGGTATTTGAATGAGGCCCTGCATGGGCTCCTCATTGGCTTTAGTTTAGGAATCTGCTAAATCAATAAGCTACATGTGAATGGTCAACACTCACCTTGAGTCTCTCCTTCTGCATCTTCATTTCTGTCATTGTTTCCACCAATTCTGCCATGATAGTGTTTTTGTTCAGAACGGGCCTTGGGGTGAAGGTCTGTCTGCACTGGGGGCAGCTGCAGAGAAGCTTCTGGACATCCTGATCCCAGTAGCCTTTAATACAGTCCATACAGTAGCTGTGTCCACAGGGAATAGTCACTGGATCCTTCAGTATCTCCAAACAGATTAAACAACTGATCGAGTCCATGGCCTCTGCCATTTTGAAACACAAGCAGGCTGAGCTGACGAGATAAGGTTTGTTTCTATTCGTGCTGAGGAGTAGGCTTAGGAGTGGCTCCCACTGACCTATATAACATTTCACTTCCCGGATCTGTGAACTCACATATCAGATACCAGGTCTGGCCAGCAGAGGGGATATAAGTGGTCTGTCAGAGACATAGAAAGAGAGAACTTTCTTATAATGCATTGTAATTTTGAGATTGAATGAGATTTACTAGAACAGCCATACCGATTCAAGTCAAAGCTCTGTGACTGTGGACCGACAGCCATTTAACAATCAACTCAACAAAACATATATTACAAAAGAAACATCCATTCCATGAGCTACATCAGATTGCATATAATTTATTTCAACAAACAATGCAAACAACTCATTGTCAATGGAGCTTGTATAAAGCTGGTGTCTAACATTAATAGTAAATCCCTTTCAGTGAAATGGACTGCATCTTCTCAATAGTGCACTCACTAGTAGATTGTATTACTGTTTTCATAAAATGATTATGTTATTGTGTCAGGCTGAAAAAGACTGTATGATATTTATGAACACACTGAAAGTCAATGAGTGTAGATACAACTTTATGTTTCTTTACTAAATTGGTGTCAGTATCTTCAGAGATTATCCATAACCAGGACCAACCCAGAATCCAGGGTAGAGGGGCTGAGTGAATGTGGTCTGGACTCTGTGGAGGAGGGTCATTGTGTCAGAGACACTGTAGAAGGACAGAGTTCCTGCCTTGATATTTACTCACATTTCAAGAACTCCTCTCTGGTATTGGGTTCAGGAGGTGAAACAACCTTCATCTTTGACAGCTCCTCACTGTCCTCCACTGCTGCCTGTGCACAGTGCTGTTAGGAAACACAGAGATAGGAGGGTGGTTCATTACAACCAATTTAATTAAACAAATAACTCTGCCCAACAACACCCTCCCCCTCCCATGAACTAAACTGTAGGAACTATAACTTATTCCATGAATTGTATCCACTTGTGATGTTTTTGTTGTAATATTGTTTGTGATTTACATTGGTGTATGTATTTATGTACTTTATGTGGTGATGCTGTTGTATTGGGATGTTAATGTGTAAGACACATTTCCAGAAAGCGACACAATACACGATAATAATAATAATTATGTATTTTTGTCGCTTTCTGAAAATGTGTAATAATAATAATAATAATTAGTATTGTTCTTATTATCCCGCCCATTCACTCAGCTCTCACCAGGACCCCAGACAGCCTGTTCACCACAGTGGGACTCCGTGAGATTTGAACGAGGCCCTCCATGGGCTCCTCACTGGCTTTATATCAGACAGATACAAGTAGATTGTCCTTACCCGTTTCTCAGTCTTTTATACACAAATAGAATATGTTACAATATTGTTCACTACAAATATTTTAAAACAAACAATATGTGCAACATATAAAAGTCAAATGGTCAATAAAAAACACAACATATACAGTGCCTCTTACCCAGATCTTGGACTAGATGAGATTGTTTTTCAAATAGAATCTCATAAAAGGCTGCTTTCACCGTTGTTCCTCCTGAACATAGTACCTCGTAAAGCAGTCTCATCTGTTCCTGGCAGGGCCTGCCATCACGGATCGTATTGTACATTTCTTTCTGAAGCATGTTTCTCTGGATCAGTTCATCTACTATGGGAATCACCATGGTCACCCTCTGAATTAGCTCAGCCCTTTGCTCATCCACAAACTTGACACCTTCAGTTAGAGAGAGAGAGGTAAAGTTATTAAGCCAATCGTAAATAATTGCTCAGTGAATCTGACCCTAAGTTAGTAAGACAAGGTGGGTGGTACATTTAAAGTTTTGTTTTCACTAATGTTTGACAAACATGGCAGATATCGGTCAGTGTCATAATAACAATAATACTTTGTAATATTGGTATTATGGGTCTTACTCCTTGCTACAACTAGCTAAGTAATTTAATAATCTGTGAATGATTTAAACCAGTGCTTTAACTGTTGAGACTACAGCAAATCTTGGAGAGAACTTAATTCGGGAGCATCTAGTTCAAATTTTGAGAATGGAGCAAATGTTATATTGTTTTTTCTCTTAATCTCAGAGTTAATACCAAAAACTGTCACCTAACCATTTTCTGAACTCATGGTTGGAATCAGCAGTTTATTCTGAGAGAGGGGGGAGACAAAGAGACTATTAATCCTCCCCATTTATAAACTATAAACTAAAGATAAAATAAACTGAGGTAGCAGCTGGGTAACTGTAGGACTCGAATTATTATTTCTTTCATCTGTCCGGTATGCCTCAGTTGGTGGCGCTTGCAACAGCTGGCAATCTGGAACTTTGTAAATATCGTCAAAAAAAATTACTGGACAAGTTAATGGAAACATAGCTACTGACTGAGACTATCTTTATGACTAGAACTCTAAATGAATAAACAGCGATAGCAGCTGGGTAACTGTACGGCTCCCCTAACTCGGGATAATTCCTCTTTCGTGTTATATTAATGACGTTTTAGTCATTTAGCAGACGCTCTTATCCAGAGCGACAGTAGGCTAGTGAGTGAAATGATGAGGAAAAAGTCAAGGGGTCTGAATACTTTCCGAAGGCACTATATATATATATATATATATATATATATATATATATATATATATATATATATATATATATATATATAACTATATAAACTAGTGGCAACCAGTGAAGGAGAGTCATTTCATACAAGCGCATTTTCGTCCACATTCCCTCTTTTCGCCACCTCAAATAGTTGAATCATGCCATATTTGGACTAGATAATGCTAAACAACGTTGGCACGTTGGCATGTTGTCTTAACAACAAAAGACAACAATTAGTTAATTTGACACACAAAAAAATAATCTGTTGAAATCGCTCTGTGGATGTATTAGACGGATCTTGGGTCCATGAATTGGGGTATCAGCCTACTCTGTGACACCCACAGCCTTGCTCAAGGGCACATAAACAGATGTTTCACTTAGTTGGCTCGGGGATTCGTACCAACGACATTTTGGTTAATCGCCCAACACTCTTGACCGCTAGGCTACCTGCCGCCCTAGCCCATCATTGTTTACATTATGTCTTTGAAGCAGCTGGTTTCTCAACTAAAGTCTAGTAGGGGAGAGTAGGGTAAGTTGAGCCAAAAGAGTATGTTGAGCCACCCTTGTCTCTAGTAAACCATACACAAAATTAATAATTTGACCAAATATTTAGGAAGAGGTCATCATTTCATGGAGTCTGTGATGGAAGAAACCACATGGACAAAGTGGTAAGCAAGTTAGGTCCAAGAAAGCAGAGTTCCCTGCTATCCAGGACCTCTATACCAGGTGGTGTCAGAGGAAGGCCCAAAAAATTGTCAAAGACTCCAGCCACCCAAGCCATACTGTTCTCTCTGCACGGCACGGCAAGCGGTACCAGTGCACCAAGTCTGGAATAAACAGGACCCTGAACAACTTCTACCCCCAAGCCATAAATCTGCTAAACAAGACCGCTATATACAGTTGAAGTCGGAAGTTTACATACACTTAGGTTGGAGTTATTAAAACTCGTTTTTCAACCACTCCACAAATTTCTTGTTAACAAAATATAGTTTTGGAAAGTCGGTTAGGACATCTACTTTGTGCATGACACAAGTCATTTTTCCAACAATTGTTTACAGACAGATTATTTCACTTATAATTCACTGTATCACAATTCCAGTGGGTCAGAAGTTTACATACTCTAAGTTGACGGTGCCTTTAAACAGCTTGGAAAATTCCAGAAAATGATGTCATGGCTTTAGAAGCTTCTGATAGGCTAATAGACATACTTTGAGTCAATTGGAGGTGTACCTGTGGATGTATTTCAAGACCTACCTTCAAACTCAGTGCCTCTTTGCTTGACATCATGGGAAAATCAAAAGAAATCAGCCAAGACCTCAGGAAAAAAAATTGTAGACCTCCACAAGTCTGGTTCATCCATTGGAGCAATTTCCAAACGCCTGAAAATACCACGTTCATCTGTACAAACAATAGTACGCAAGTATAAACACCATGGGACCACACAGACGTCATACCACTCAGGAAGGAGACGTGTTCTGTCTCCTAGCAATGAACATACTTTGGTCCAAAAAGTGCAAATCAATCCCAGAACAACAGCAAAGGACCTTGTGAAGATGCTGGAGGAAACAGGTACAAAATTATCTATATCCACAGTAAAATGAGTCCTATATCGACATAACCTGAAAGGCCGCTCAGCAAGGAAGAAGCCACTGCTCCAAAACCGCCATAAAAAAGCCAGACTACGGTTTGCAACTGCACATGGGGACAAAGATCGTACTTTTTGGAGAAATGTCCTCTGGTCTGATGAAACAAAAATAGAACTGTTTGCCCATAATGACCATTGTTATGTTTGGAGGAAAAAGGGGGTTGCTTGCAAGCCGAAGAACACCATCCCAACCGTGAAGCACGGGGGTGGCAGCATCATGCTGTGGGGGGTGCTTTGTTGCAGGAAGGACTGGTGCACTTCACTAAATAGATGGCATCATGAGGAAGGAAAATTATGTGGATATATTGAAGCAACATCTCTAGACATCAGTCAGGAAGTTAAAGCTTGGTCGCAAATGGGTCTTCCAAATGGACAATGACCCCAAGCATACTTCCAAAGTTGTGGCAAAATGGCTTAAGGACAACAAAGTCAAGGTATTGGAGTGGCCATCACAAAGCCCTGACCTCAATCCTATAGAACATTTGTGGGCAGAACTGAAAAAGCGTGTGCGAGCAAGGAGGCCTATAAACCTGACTCAGTTACACCAGCTCTGTCAGGAGGAATGGGCCAAAATTCACCCAACTTATTGTGGGAAGCTTGTGGAAGGCTACCCGAAATGTTTGACCAAATTTAAACAATTTAAAGGCAATGCTACCAAATACTAATTGAGTGTATGTAAACATCTGACCCACTGGGAATGTGATGAAAGAAACAAAAGCTGAAATAAATCATTCTCTCTACTATTATTCTGACATTTCACATTCTTAAAATAAAGTGGTGATCCTAACTGACCTAAGAGAGCACATTTTTACTAGGATTAAATGTCAGGAATTGTGAAAAACTGAGTTTAAATGTATTTGGCTAAGGTGTATGTAATAATAATAATAATATAATATGCCATTTAGCAGACGCTTTTATCCAAAGCGACTTACAGTCATGCGTGCATACATTTTTACGTATGGGTGGTCCCGGGGATCGAACCCACTACCTTGGCGTTACAAGCGCCATGCTCTACCAGCTGAGCTACAGAGGACCACATGTAAACTTCTGACTTCAACTGTAGCTAATCAAATGGCTACCCACTGCTGCTACTACTATCTATCCCGTTGCCTAGTCACTTTAACCCTACCTACATGTACATAGCTACCTCAATTACCTCGTACCCCTGCACATTGACTCTGTACTGGTACTCCCTGTATATAGCCATGTTATTTGTACTCGTCATTGTTATTCCCTGCGTCACTATTTATATTTTTTTAATTAAATGTTTTATCTTTAACTCTGCACTGTTAAAAAAGGACCCGTATGTAAGCATTTCACTGTTAGTCTACACTTGGTGTTTACTTGCAAAGCATGAAAAAAATAACATTTGATTAGACTCAATACATAGTAGGTTGACTGGTGCGCTTAGAGAAATTTTTTAAACTTCATATTCATAATCTCCAGCCCCACCCCAACATCAAACATATGTGAAAATGGTGTGTTTCTATGTTTTGTAGTAAAAAAGATAGAGGAAGATCAGTGTTTCCAATTACATCAGTGTTCGTGTGCATCGTGTGATTTTGACCAATTGTGAGTAGACATTGCCTACTAATTGGTTGATGGTGTCATTGGAAACACTTATCTTTCTCTATATTTTTTACTACAAAGAAACATGCCACTTTCACATAGATTTCCCTTTAATGTGGCTCATTTCACACTGGTTTCAAAGTCCTGCAGTAAGAAAACTCTTCACAGTTGTGTTCTGTGGATGTCACTGAGTAGGCTGATATCCCATTTCATGGACCTAAGATCCATAGGTAAGGCAATACATTGCAATATGAACATTCAATACGCACAATAGTCTGTATAGTGAGGCGATTTCCCACAGTTAAAGTTCCCTAATATGAGCTACGACACTACTATTTGTGTAAACTCTACAGAATTGTAATCTGTGGATGTCATAGAGTAGGCTGATACCCCAATTCATGGACCCAAGATCCATAGGTAAGGCTGTACAGTGCATAAAACAGTTGAGGCTCCTCAGAGGAGGAAGGGGAGGACCATCCTCCTCAGTGAATTTCATAAAAATGTAAATTGTAAAACATTTAGACAGTTATCCTTTTTAGATAAAAACTATCCTAAATATAATCACATCACCAAATAACTGAATAAAACACACTATTATGCAAAGAAGGTCTACAGTAGCCTCAACAGCACTCTGTAGGGTAGCACCATGGTGTAGCCGGAGGACAGCTGGTCCTCCTCTGGGTACATTGACTTCAATACAAAACCTAGGAGGCTCATGGTTCTCACCCCCTTCCATAGACTTACACAGTAATTATGACAACTTCCGGAGGACGTCCTCTAGCCTATCAGAACTCTTGCAGCATGAACTGACATGTTGTCCACCCAATCAAAGGATCAGATAATTAATCTAGTACTGAAAGCATAAGCTACAGCTAGCTAGCACTGCAGTGTATAAAATGTGGTGTGTAG